GTGGGGGGGGGGGGGGGGATTCACTTACCGAAGGGCAGGACGAAAAAGAAAGGGAACCAGCAGAGGATGAAAACTCCCACCACAATAGCCAGGGTCTTGGCCGCCTTCTTCTCGCGGGAGAACTTGAGCAGACGCACCGAGAGCGAGCTCCTGAGGTTGTGCCCCTTGTTCCTGGCGCTGGAGAGGGAATCCTCCAGCACGCTCCGGCAATGGATCCTCAGCACCACCTCCATGGACTTGCTCCGCTCCTTCTTGACCCCCGCCTCCAGGCTCTTGGTGGTCCGCCGGGCCACCACATAGATCCTGAAGTACATCACCAGGATGACGGCCAGGGGCAGGTAGAAGGAGAAGAGGGAGGAGAAGAGGGCATACCCCGGCTCCTCTGTGATGCTACAGATGCTCTCGTCGGGCGGTGGGGGCTCCTTCCAGCCCAGCAGCGGCCCGATGGAGATGACCATGGAGGAGAGCCACACCACCACCAGGATGACCACCGCTTTCCTCTCGGTCATGATGGCCGGGTACTTGAGTGAGTACTTGACGCCGATATAGCGGTCCACCGAGATGATGCAGAGGCTCATGATGGAGGCCGAGCAGCACAGCACGTCCACCGCTGCCCAGATGTTGCAGAAGATGCGACCAAAGACCCAGAAGCCCAGCACCTCCAGGGTGGCCGAGAAGGGCAACACTGTGGTGCTGAGCAGCAGGTCGGCGATGGCCAAGTTGACTATGAAATAGTTGGTCACCGTCTGCAGGTGCCGGTTGCAAGCCACCGACAGGATGACCAGGATGTTGCCCACGATGGCCGAGAGGATGAAGAGCGCCAGGAAGACCCCCAGCCCCACCGCCGGCAGGTCCAGCCCCGGGCTCAGCGACGTGCCATTGCCATCCGCGGCACCCTCGTCCCCCGGCGCCCAGCTGCGGTTGCCCGGGCTGGGTGCCGTCTGGTTGCCCTCGGGCGCGCTGGCATTAAGCGGGGCGGGGAAAGTCATCGTGGCCGGCACCGGACTCCATGGAGGGCAGTGCCCGGCATCCTCCCCCCGGCTGCCCGCTGCCTGCAGCCCCCCACCCCCCGCATGGGGGGCCCCGCCCGGCTCCCCCGCCCCCC